AAATGTCATCGTTAGGCAGAAGGAGAGATATCTCGGTGTTAAAAATGGAATCGACCATTTGCATGGAGTGCCATTTTTGCAATCATCAACTGTCACATTTAAAATCAAACTTCTAACTTATCACTGGGCACTGACTGTGACTAACTTTAAATTGTGACTGACTCATGACTAACTATGAAGTAAGTCACAACCAGTGACTGGCTCACCTCCCTTTTTGTAGCACTGGCTATGTATTTGCAAACCTCCCCAATGGACGTGGATCTTTCTTGCTTCTACCCTCTGGCTTGAACAATTTTGCATTTAGTAAGCTTTTCTTTGTAGGGAATTTTGAGCATCCAAAGAAAACATGAAATGTGTTGCTTCAACTATTACATATCCTCATTCCAATTGTTCAATATAATGAATAAAATAATATTTACACAATTAATTAGCTATACAAAAAATAGACGTCTCACAATATAGAGATCATAGAAAATACCTGGTTTTCCAATTCAGTTTTTAAAATCAAAGGTCATTCTAAAGATACAAAAATAGGGATTCATTCAAGATTCAAAAATTGATAAAGTAACTCGACAGATGGCTAAGGCCATTGTCAATTTAGCTTTTTCTTTGGAAGTTAATGTTTTTTTACTTTGTGTAAATAAAGCCTTTATTCATTCATTCATTCAAAGGTGTAAGCCCATGGCAGTGTCTGTAATACAAAAATTTACAAATTCTTTGTAAATTGACTCCATACTTTTTCAGAAATCCATTGAGTCTGCAGTGTCCTGGTGAAAAACTGGTTATGATTTTACACTTCTTTCTGATTCTTGTTATACATTCTGATATCAATTATTTGAAAGTCTACAAGAGACTCTTGCATTGTTTGCATAGTGGTTAGTTCTTCCACTTTAAAAATCTCTGTTAGTGTTTTTACCTATCGGGATAAGAGTTTGTCAGAGATGTAAGAGCTTGGCATGGAAAAGCATTAGTCAACCTTCAATTTTTTTTTATTCATATGTCTTGAGAACAAGCACATTTCTCAATTGTGTAAACATGAGTTATACACTTTTGTATAGTGTATTTGTATATATAAGTGGAAAGTTTATGGGCCGACAAACAGCTGTTGTCACTGACCCTCTGCGTGTTTTCCTTGTTTTTCTTTTCTTTCGCGCATATTTTGTTTTAAACTTTAACATTTGAGCGTCTCGATCTGGTTACTGACTCTCTGATTTCAGATATATTCTACGTTGATATTCTAGAATACTAGTCTCTACCTTCTTTGTACCTCAGGTTGTCAAGTACAGAATAGAAACAAAACGTACAATACATATATATACATCTCCATAAACATAGATGCCTGGTCACATTCACTACCCAGAGTACTCGATATTCCCCGGGGCGGGGTTGAACCCTCTCCACTCTCGCTAATAACTTACTTTTACACTCTAGATGTCACACACTCACCCCCAGAGTATTTGATATTCCTCAGGGCGGGGTTATAAGCAACCTCTCCCTTTCACGCTAATAAATTACTTTTACTCTCTAGACGTCATACTCTCACCCCAGATTACTCGATATTCCTTGGGGCGGGGTTGAATCACCCCTTCCTTTCAAGCTAATAAATTACATTAATTCCAATAAATTAACATAAAGTCAAATACAGACATAACACAAACACATAAAACTAAATACATTTAAAAATCCCTATGCGGAGGGGTAATAATTAACAGATGAAAAATAAGGACACTAATATATGCAGACAACATAGTGTTGTTGGCCTCTACACCTGCATCGTTGCAACTCATGATAAGGGATTTAGAAGACTATTGCGACAAGTGGAACCTTAAATTGATTCTGCAGAAATCCCAAATTATGGTCTGTCGGCAGGGAGGCGGAAGACTCAAGAAAAACGAAAGATGGTTCTTCAAAAGTGAAAGCGTGGACTGCATAAACTGCTACAAATACCTTGGTATCAATTTCACTAAGTCCTTGAAGATGAAGCATCACTGCAGAGAGAAGACCAACAGCGCTAAGTACGCTGTTAATAGTCTGTGGCGCAAAATAATGAACAACAAGAAGATCCCACTAGAGAAAAAGATGGTGATATTCAACAGCACCCTGAGGTCTGTAGTATGCTATGGTGCGCAGGTCTGGGGTTACTTATACTTGAAGGAAATAGAAAATGTACAGAAATACTTCATCAAGAAACTGCTCTGCCTGCCAACTAGTACCCCAGACTACATCTTATATATTGAGTACTCGGTCACACCACTCTACAGTCACAATTTAAGCCTGCATTTGAAATATATAAGTAAAGTACTGAATCACACACCTGACAGACTGACGCAGTTTTTGGCTGACAGAGTAATAAATAAAGGCATATTATGGCACAAGCAGCTGTCAGAGTTAGGTAGGCTGTACGGTGTAGGAGTAAGTAGGGAAGAACAGAAGTCCTCTAATACGACGGACCTGATAAAAAAATGGGAGGAGAGCAAAAAGAAAGACCTGGCAACCCGCGCGAGAAACAGCTTACATCACAACTTGTATGCAAGACTGGATTTTCACTTAGGGCGAAACTATATGGAGTGCTCTGATATGACAGCCTATGAGGTGTGTCTGGTCTTGAGGGCGAAGGGTGAATTACTTCAGCTGAACGGCCAACCGTGGAGACAGGACCAGGCCATCATTTGCTCCTTATGTAACCTCAACGTTCTGGAAGACACTCTCCACTTCATGGGAGTGTGCCCATTTTGAGAGAGTTCCGCCAAAGGTACTTTGGGAAACTGAAGCTGGATGTAGAAGAAATCATTGCAATCCTCAACGGAAGGGATAACTGGAGGAAGCTTGTGGTGTACCTCACTCACGCCCTGCAGTACTGAAAATACCTGGTTGTCCAATTCAATTTTTAAAATCAAAGGTCATTCTAAGATACAAAAATAGGGATTCATTCAAGATTCAAAAATTGATAAAGTAACTCGACAGACGGCTAAGGCCATTGTCAATTTAGCTTTTTCTTTGGAAATGTAAAGTTAATGTGAATACTTTGTGTAAATAAAGCCTTTATTCATTCATTCATTCAAAAATCCCTATAGCCCTGAGGTACCAGAACTGCGATCTGTGCCCCCTGCTGTGCCTCAAGACTACGCACAGGTCCGGTGATATGCCAAAATATTGACTATATACATCAAGCCTTCTGCACTTGAAGAGGTCACGACCATTATTCTATCCTTACATAACGGGCACCTATGCGGTCGCTTTCCGGCCAGAAGGTGCCCGTACGTTATTCTTGTATGACCTATTCGTAGTCTTGTCAGTATGGCCTTTTCCCTTTTCGAACAGTTCTCCGTGGACCAGGGACCGACTTCTTTCTTAACCTGCCACAGTTTGGCAGGGTTATTTCTATTTCTTCGAGCCCAGCGGTTTTCCCATTCTCTTTTTACAGAATTTGAAATTGGTAGTTTTAGGTCTGCTGGACATATAGGTTGGGAAGCGCCGTGGGGCCTTCCAGTGGCTCCTTTGGCCGCTCTGTCTGCTTCTTCGTTCTTGGCTATCCCTATGTGGCCGGGAACCCATGCCAACACGACCTTCTTCCCAACTGTATCGATCCCTTTTAACTGTTCTTTTATCTTGTTTATTAGGGAGTCCACTGAGGCTCTTCTCCTGAGCTTCTGTAGTGTATTTGTAATTACCAAATAAATGGCTGTTGTATTAAAGCAGCTATATATCCAGCCATCTTTATGTTCACTTTGCCTAGTTTGTAGGACAGCTACACTGGCTTTAGAAATAATCATCTATCTTTACACCAGTCAGCCCAACGGATTCTATTCAATGAACCAATAACTCTCCCAAAACAGCTATCAGTTTAATAACCGAAGAAATCACTGGTAGGTGAGATTCAAAAGACTTGGCTGCATGTTTCAATGTGCCTAAAACTTACTTTACTATTTACTACTTATTTTATTAACCTTGTGTGTTTTTAATAATGCAAAATATTTTTACCTAATGTATATGTTTTAACGCAGAGGCCTTAGTGGTTAATAATTTGGTTTTGATCCATGAACTTAGGATCTAGACTATCTCACAGATTTGCAGGTCCTTCAAGGCTCTTAGAAGCTTTGTACAACCTTATTTCCCAATCCTAAGGTTCGTATCACAGCATGAGAACTGACATCACATCACTTTCTCTGATGCATCTGTGCTATAATCAAGCAATCCATGTACTCCCGGCCCGCAATGAACAATTCTAAAAGTACAATTAATAAAAAAAGCTAACACTATGAAAAACCTCATTTTCCCTTGTCTCAACTTTGACTTTCAACACAGTTAAAAAAAAAATTATCCACTGTGCTTCAGTCGAACACTTGAACAAACATGTTAACTTTTTGAATCTGGAAGGGGAAATTTTTTATGGCGAATGCAAATATTTCTGTTTAAACAACATTTGATTATAATTATGTACTAAGAAACTTTCCCCTCCTAATTCTTTAACCAAAAATAACTATAAAATACATTAAATTGTATATCTAGAGGCATTTTTGCTTTTTAATTCAGAGCAAAATATGAAAGAGCCTCAGTTGATTCAGTTATGAGACACCAAAGATACCAAAGCTACAGCTGGAGTCACAGCATTTAAGAAAATGATGCTTGACATCTTGGCAAAAGGGATGTAGGCTTTCTGATTTTGTTACTCCACCTAAAACTGATTTACCAATGTTCAACTTACAGTAGTAGACCTTATTTTATTAATACTAATACCAGATTTTTGAAAACTTTATAAAATTTCATGTTATAAGTAAAACGTCAACGCTCCAATATTTTAATTTTATTTCATTAAAATAAAACTATTTTAATTTTGCTCACAATTAAATATGTATGTACAAAATAAAAGCTGTTAACAAACCACATTACCTATAGTTTGAAGCAAATTATCATGTATTGAAATAATTATTGTTGTTATTGTTTATTATTAAAATAAAACTAACTTTTTAATCATTAATAAAAATGGTAATTAGTTCAAATTGTTAAGTGTAGAACATTTAGATAAAGGATAATATTGTAGAAACAGTAATCTATAGGGAGCATAAAATTATTACTGTTTTACTATAAAACAAATGCCAGTATTAATTGTGAAAAACATTTGTCATATCAATTGGAAAGAAAATGATATTGTTTCCAAATGAAAAATATTTTTCTCGTGTGGTTAATAAACTATAGAATAAGCAAAATAATAAAATACAGTGTTTTAGTTCTTAACTATTTTATTTTTAACCTTTTAAAACTTAGCCTCTGTTTTAATGCTAGATGGTAGCAACTGTGTTACTAATATGCATGCCCTTCTTTCTCATTTCAAATCATATTGTACAAATATTATTTAGGCGTCTACGTAATCGCCTCTAAATATTTAAGCAGAACATGAAAGAGTTCTGTTTGATCAGTTGTATGAATTTTGATTTTTTTGCTATGAAAAAAAGGAAGCGATATTCAAGGGCAGTCCACTTCCAAGATGAGACTATCCATGATCATTTTTATTGCCTGTTTGAGTTACTCTAAATCCATAGAATTGCTTAATCCATCAACCAAATATCTCAATGCATCGAAAATACCAGTTATAGGGAAGTATTTTGGGTCAAAAAATGGTAATGCGACCCCTATTGATGAGGCACCCGAAAAGCCTCCACCAACTGAGTCTCCACAAGATGCTTACGGTAGGTTTCTCCTATCTAGTTTTTAAAAATTGCATGCTCAATTAGATATTTGTTACAGTTAATGTTTTGAAATCAAATGAAGAAATAAAGACAACTATTGGAAATGATTTATTAAAAATCATTTCAGAACCAGAATCTGACGAACCTAACGAAGCAGTAGAAGAAACAGTGAATTCATTATCTAATTTGGAATATTGGGAACCTGTAACAAGTAAATTACAGTATGTATGGGACAAACTAAAGCAACTTGGCCGCTACGCTGCAAAAACTCTGAGGAAAGCCACGTCTTATATAGGAAAAAAAGTCAAACATTTAAGAGTTTACATGAATCAAGGGCGTGAAATAGTAGAAACATTACACAATGCTGTGAAATCAGCAGGTAAAGCTACAGAAGATTCTGATGAACCTACTGTTCAAAATATAAATAATTTTTTTGCACGGTTGGTCTATATACTTAAAAATTTTAAACAAGTTTTCAAAACCAACCCAATAGAAATAGCAAGAGACCGAGAAAGCTTAGCAGAATAGAATAATAGAAATAAAAATAGAATAGGTTGTACTGAATTCATTCATTAGTTAAAATCTTAAAACTTAGTTATAAATAAAAATAATTAAATAAATGTCCTCTTAGTATTATAGTGTTCACTTTAAAAAAAATTTATGTGATGTAAATTAAATTTTTACATTAAAATTTAAAAATATACATAAATAAAATATAGTCAAATAATTGTTTGCTTTATAGACCTTCATTATGTTTATTGTTACATGATTTTTATTCCAATAGGTTTAACATTGAAATGTTGTTTATACCGGTTTGTTGGACTCATAATATTGTTTATATTGAATGTATAATAGTTTGTAAGTTTATATAAAATAAATGTTATTTAAAAATTCGGTTTCTCCCATCGAAACCATAGGCTGTATGTATTTTTATCATTTATATAATTACTTATTGTAATAAAAGCCAAAGAAAACAAAATAAAAAATTCTTTTAATAAAAAATATTAAAAAATGTTTTGAAAAAAATCATTTCTTGCACCAGAAAATCATTAATTGATACATTAAAGTTTAACTTACAGCTTTTTGGCTGGTTTTGCACTTAATATTTAATCCAATCTCTTATTTCCTCGATGCCTTGGAGACTTTGCGAGGCTGGGGAAAGTAATGCAAGTTATTAAGAGCAAAACTAGGTAATAAATTACTAATTAAATGTATAGGTTTTATATATATATATGCCTCACAAAGCCAAAAAAGTATATATATGTGTGTGTATGTGTGTTTGGTATAAAATTACATTGGCTCTATTTATAATATACTCATCATACTGGTATTCACGGGAACAAAGTGCAAAGCTGGATGCAGGCAGAAAAACAGGTGATTGCTCGGGCTAGCTTCCAGGAAGGAGTTATTTCTTTTCACGGGCTTAGTGTGAAACTCATTGTGAAAAAGTAGATAAAAACAATTTACATTATAAAAATCCTGTATAATTTTTATTAATCATTGAAATATAAAATGATGTGGCATGTAGTCAAATAGCCCTTTTTTGGTTTTTATTTGTCTGAAATTGTGAAAAGATACAAAAACCTAAAAAGGACAATTTTTATTAAAACTCATGAATTTCTGATCTTGTTTAATCTGGATTACATTAAAATATGTATGTTGCAAATAATATAATAATAAAAAGAAGTATAATGTGAAACAAACAACAAATTACAAGTGTCTTTTTTTTTTGTCTCTAAGCATGTGTAATCTTAATACTATTCATACAAAATAATTCGTTTGAAACTTATAAAACTAGAACTAAAATGTAACAAAGAATATGTAGTTTGGTCATTACAAATCATTTTGGCCTCTCTCTCCTCATTGGTTTGGCCTATCATATACGAGTCGGGATTTTGCCACCAGACAGACCCAGCATTATTGTAAAATGTTGAAACGAGGAGAGGACGGCAAAAATGTCAGCAACAATTAATCTATAGGTCAACCAAACAAATCATATGGAAAAATCTCACAATAACATAGAATACATCATGAAACAGACATTAATTTCATTTCAAACATTAGAAATAAAAAATCATTATTGTATTAATTTAGTGAATAAGGTAGGATCTAATATAATGCAATATAATGTAATTTGGTATGATAGTAGAAAATCTGTTGTGTCTGACAGTGAGTCCTGGGTCATACTTGGGTTTGATTCAAAAATTGGCTGACACTTCAAACAGTTGAGTAAAAATTAAATTTGCATTTCAGTAGTAAATTATTGTTTATGATGGAAATTATTCTGATGCAGCAATTGAATGATGTTTTAAATATTAAATAAAGACATAAGCCCATATATGTTTTGCAGTCATAATTGACCTTATTAATTATTTCAATTAATTATACTTTTTATGTAAGATCTTGGTTGAGATGGAAAGCTAGTGTCACAAGCACGATTTGAAACCACTAATTTCAGCTCAATACGGTGCTCTCTAATCACTTGAACTATCATGACACTAACTTTTAATCTTAACCAAGACCTTAGATAAAAATTATAATTAATTGAAATATTTATAATTTTCCAATGTAAAGTTGTTAGCAAATGAATTTTACAAAACAAAAAATTATTCTATATTTAAATAAATTAATAAATAATAATAATAAAATATAAAATCCAATGATAAGAAATAAAAATGTATCAGGTACTTTTCTAAATTAAAACAGGATGTAATGCTGACTGACCAGCTACTATTCACAATATGATAGGATGGGGATATGGTCCAATGAATATTTTGCGTTGAAACTATGCCAAACTTTTGGTGTTTTTATTTCACCTTGCTCAGGACTAGATATGGACTGAGAAACTAGCCTTGAGGAAGGTGAAATAAAAACACAGAAAGCTTGGCATCGTTTCAACACTCAACATTCATTGGACCATATCCCCGGCTCCAACATACAAACGTACCACATTGGTAATGTTTGTAAAAAAACCTTAGTGTTATTATTATGAATGAACTCCAAGTCAAACACTGCATTTGAAGACATTCCTTCAACCACGACACAGTTTATTTTCTGTATGATTGGTATAGCACATAATAACAGATTATCATAAAATTGGGTGAGGAATGTGTTTGTAGACAGAGCTATTGAAAACCATGGGACATCAAACAAGAGGCCATCTTGGTCACCAGACCTCACCATGTCATGTCTAAAATTTCTAAACATAAACCAATAGCAGAATTTTGTACAAATATGTGGTGGTAATCACACCAGCATAACTGATTGTGAGATTTTTATGACAAATTGTTACAGCGGAAGGGGATGCCTTTGAACACTTCATTTGACTTCAAGTTCATTCGTAATAATAGCATTAGGCTTTTTAATCAAAATTTTATAAACTTTTTTAAAATTTTATTTTAAATTTAGGGACGTTCCTAATGCATTGCCATTTCTCATCTGTGGATTTTGTAGCTTTATTTATTCATTTAAATACAAAATTATTTACTATTTGATAAAATTACTTTATTAACACCTTTTTGTTACAAAATTGAAATTAAATTCTTTCATTTTTGCCAAATAAAGTCTTTTTGATTAGAAAATTGGACCAGAGTTTGTTTAAACAGGTAATGCATTGTTTTTCCTATGGAGCGCTGAAAAATGCACCATCGTAAATTGAGCCCAAAAAATGGCTACCCCTCACTTTTTTTTAATAGTAAATACTTGCATTCGTTATAATTTTTATTTTATGTTGTTTACTGAATATTTTTAAAGAAAAATATAAGATGTAGCTATAAAAAATAAATAAATAAATAAAATAAATAAACTGAGTAAAACAATTTTACCAAAAATGTTGCTATGGAAACAGTGAAGAAAATATTGAATTCAGTACAGAGTATTTCCTCATCTTACAGTGATACGGCTTGCATTCGTACTGGCATTAATTTTATGAAGTTTTGACTGTTGTGCTGAGGAATATTTTCATACTCCTCTAACAGTGCCATTCTTCATTTCTGCAAATTCTCTGGTATCACGGGGTTTTACCCTTTTTGACAACTCGTTCCAAAGGGTTTAAGTCGGGACTACATTCTAGCCACTCCAAACATTGAATTGAAGCCTATTCAAAGTAGTCACCAATGATCCTAGATGTGTGGGGGCTTACAGTGTCATGCATATAAACAAAACCGACACCAGTTATTAGTAGACATGATATGGTGAGGTCTGGTGATCAAGATGGCCCTTGTTTAATGTCCCATGGTTTTCAATAACTCTGTCTCCAAACACATTCCTCACGCAATTTTATGATAATCTGTTATTATGTGCTAGACACCAATCATATAGAAAATAAACTGTGTCGTGGTTGAAGGAATGTCTTCAAATGGAGTGTTTGACTTGTAATTCATTCATAATAATAACATTAAGGTTTTTTTTTACAAACATTAGCAATGTTGTATGTTTGTATGTGGGATCCGGGGATGTGGTCCAATGAGTGTTGAGTGTTGAAACTGTGCCAAGCTTTCGGTGTTTTTATTTCACCTTCCTCAAGGCTAGTTTCTCAGTCCGTATCTAGTCCTGAGCAAGGTGAAATAAAAACACCAAAAGTTTGGCATAGGTTCAACGCAAAATATTCATTGGACCATATCCCCATCCTACCAAATATATTGTGTATAGTAGCTGGTCGGTTAGCTTTACATCCTGTTTTAACTTAGAAAAGTACCTAATACATTTTTATTTCTTATCATTTTTCATCTCAACCAAGGCCTTAGAAAAAAGTATAATTAATTGAAATAATTATTAAGGCCAATTATGACTGCTAAACATTTATGGGCTTATGTCTTCATTTAATATTTAAAATATCATTCAATTGCTGCGTCGTATTCGTTCAATTTTGTACCAAACACACACACACATATATATGTATATACTTTTTTTTGCATTGTGAGGTGTATATATATATATATATATATATATATATATATATATATTTATATACTTCTTTGATATTGTGAGGTTTACACATTTAATTAGTAATTTATTACCTAGTTTTGCTCTTAATAACTTGTATTACTTTCCCCAGCCTCGCAAAGTCTCCAAGGCATCGAGGAAATAAGAGATTGGATTAAATATTAAGTGCAAAACCAGCCAAAAAGCTGTAAGTTAAACTTTAATGTATCAATTAATGATTTTCTGGTGCAAGAAATGATTTTTTTCAAAACATTTTTTAATATTTTTTATTAAAAGAATTTTTTATTTTGTTTTCTTTGGTTTTCATTACAATAAGTAATTACATAATGATAAAAATACATACAACCTATGGTTTTGATGGGAGAAACCGAACTTTTAAATAACATTTATTTGATATAAACTTACAAACTATTATACATTCAATACAAACAATATTCCACTGTTAAACCTATTGGAATAAAAATGTAACAGTGTAAGCCATGAAGGTCTAAAAAGCAAAAAATTATTTGTCTATTTTTTATTTATGAATATTTTTAAATTTTAATATAATAATTTATTTTACATCACATACATTTCTTTTTAAAGTGAACACTATAATACTAAAGTGAGGATATTTATTTATTATTTTTGTTTATAACTAAGTTTTAAGATTTTAACCAAAGAATGAATTCAGTACAACCTATTATATTTTTATTTCTATTATTCTATTCTGCTAAGCTTTCTCGGTCTCTTGCTATTTCTATTGGGTTGGTTTTGAAAACTTGTTTAAAATTTTTAAGTATATAGACCAACCGTGCGAAAAAATTATTTATATTTTGAACAGTGGGTTCATCAGAATCTTTTGTAGCTTTGCCTGCTGATTTCACAGCATTGTGTAATGTTTCTAATATTTCATGCCCTTGATTCATGTAAACTCTTAAATGTTTTACTTTTTTTCCTATATAAGACCTGGCTTTCCTCAGAGTTTTTGCAGTGTAGCAGCCGAGTTGCTTTAGTTTGTCCCATACATACTGTAATTTACTTGTTACAGGTTCCCAATATTCCACATTAGATAATGAATTCACTGTTTCTTCTACTGCTTCGTTAGGTTCGTCAGATTCTGGTTCTGAAATGATTTTCAATAAATCATTTCCAATAGTTGTCTTTATTTCTTCATTTGATTCCAACATATCTTCTGTAACAAATATCTAATTCAGCATGCAATTTTTAAAAACTAGATGGGAGAAACCTACCGTAAGCATCTTGTGGAGACTCAGTTGGTGGAGGCTTCTCGGGTTCCTCATTATTTGCGGTCGCATTACCATTTTTTGACCCAAAATACTTCCCTATAACTGGTAGCTGAGATGCATTGAGATATTTGTTTGATGGATTGGGCAATTCTATGGATTTAGAGTAACTCAAACAGGCAATAAAAATGATCATGTACAGTCTCATCTTGGAAGTGGACTGACCCTTGATATTGCTTCCTTTTTTCATAGTAAAAAAATCAAAATTTATACAACTGATCAAACAGAGCTCGTTCATGTTCTGCTTAAATATTTAGAGGCGATTACGTAGACGCCTAAACAATATTTGTACAATATGATTTGAAATGAGAAAGAAGGGCATGCATATTAGTAACACAGTTGCTACCATCTAGCATTAAAACAGAGGCTAAGTTTTAAAAGGTTAAAAATAAAATAGTTATGAACTAAAACACTGTATTTTATTATTTTGCTTATTCTATAGTTTATTAACAACACGAGAAAAATATTTTTCATTTGGAAACAATATCATTTTCTTTCCAATTGATATGACAAATGTTTTTCACAATTAATACTGGCATTTATTTTATAGTAAAACAGTAATAATATTATACCCCCTATAAATTACTGTTTCTACAATATTATCATTTATCTAAATGTTCTACAGTTAACAATTTGAACTAATTACCATTTTTATTAATGATTAAAAAGTTAGTTTTATTTTAATAATAGACAACATTATTTCAATACATGATAATTTGCTTCAAACTATAGGTAATGTGATTTGTTAACAGGTTTTATTTTGTACATACATATTTAATTATGAGCAGCAAAATAGTTTTATTTTAATGAAATACAATGAAAATATTGGAGCGTTGATGTTTTACTTATAACATAAATTTTATAAAGTTTTCAAAAATCTGGTATTAGTAATTATTAATCATCGAACGTAGGAACGTGACATTTGGTATAATGTTAGGTCTTATATTATAAGTAAAGATAAGAATCTATAAATTGCAATTATCTAAAAATTAGAACATTTTTTTGGGGAGGGGGCGTAGTCTCATCATCAAATAGAAAAGAAACGTGAAATTTGGTGAAAAGGTAGCTCTTATACAAAAACCAAGACGATTAATCAATATTAATAATTTAATCGTCGAATGAAAACTTCGTAATCTTTGAATATTGGAATATTAGGCCAATCCTTAAACTTGGCACCTGTACATCTAAATAGGTTACGTGTTTGTCTAAAGTTTTGATTTTGGTAATTTTGATCGTCAATTAAGGGTATTTTAAATAATTTATTAAGTGTCTGTTTTTTTTTAATAGTGCGGATTCCAAGCTATCAATTGTACGTCCTAAATAGGTAAGTTTGTCGGATTGAGGAACAGGTTCATTGTGTAAGTATATGCTAGGACATGTCTCACGGCCGAGTGTAAAGGTGATGCGTTGTGATTTTGAGGTATTAAACTTTATTTTAAACTTTTCCAAAGATGGCTCCATTGTTCAATTGTTGACATACATTTCTGTAAGGGAAACATGTAGAAAAGGGTTTATTTGTTAATATGGAGGTGTCATCTGCTTATGTGTCGGTATGTGCATTCTCATTTGCTGGCACTTCAGAAGTAAAAATTGTGTTCAACAGCGGAGCGAGAATTGACCCCTGTGGTACAAGTCTTTCATCAGAAGTCTCTTGTTTACTACAAAAAATCTCTATATAAACAAAAGTAGTTTTAATTTATATAATAGTCCCTCATGTTGTACTTTATAATTAATAAAAATTAAATTAGATAAAATTGTAATTTAACAAAACAGGTCATTAATTTCACTTATTGAGCTATCAGCTGCAAGTATCTAATTGCCCTAATTGCCTAAGGGTCTTATCTTTTACGAATTATCTGTCTACTAATTTATCTACTCTCTCTCTCTCTCTCTCTCTCTCTCTCTCTCTCTCTCTCTCTCTCTCTCTGTCTGTCTCTGTCTGTCTGTGTCTTTCTCTCTCTCTCTCTCTCTCTCTTTTACATATCGACTCGATAAATACGTACAATTGAAGGTACTGCAGAAGCTAAAGTTTATCAAAAATGGCCATACTGTTCGGTGGTATTTTTTTTTTATTTGGATACCAGGGACTGGAGGATTTCCCTCCTGAGCACTGCAGCTGAGCTGTACAGCTTATTGTACTTTATCCCTGGCTCCATATTTTGGGGGAGGGCTCGCAACACAAATGTGAACTTAAGCCCCCGTTGTACCGGTGTTCTTTCATCGAAGAAATTCATTTTTGAAGGGGGTTGGAACCAAATTCAGGGTCACTGAGATCCGATACCGCTCCTTCCATTGATGAGTGCCGTGTCAATTTCTTTCAATTGCGGCCACTTAGGCGTCAGAAAAAGTCCAGAGGCGACGGTGGGGATCGAACCCACGACCGCGGGATCTACTAGCCTAGAGTCTGACGCCTTAACCACTCGACTACATCGGTTCGGTGGTATACTACAGAAAAACAATGGATTTTGAAAAATCATTTCAAATACTAATCAATTCGAAGTAGAAGCACTTATAAAACAAAAAAAAAACACTACTGTAGTGTACTGTTTAAGGAAGGCAGGATCTGCGTGCATAATCTAAAAAAAAACCTACCAAAAAAGGCAAATTATCTATTAACCCTCAACAAAAAGCACCTATATCCATTCGAATAAAGGAAACGATGGACATAGTACGAAAGACATTAAATAAAAACTGTGACAAAGAATACGCCAAACATAATACAAAGTACGACACTACAAATTTACTTTAAATTCAACCGACAAATATACACACCAAAAGACGGCCTGGGATGGGTAATTCAACTCTAGCCATACTCGCAGCAGTATTTTTAAAAATTTTTGGAAAAATATAACATCCCGCACACATATACAGATACCCACATAAAATGTTTTACAAGTTTGTCTTGTGTTAATAATGACTAGAACTATTTAGACAATGGATCAATTTGCTTCAATTGTGTCTAGTTTGCAAGCGATACCTCTTTAGGCAGGCGATTAGAACCATACTCTTTTGTACAAACACCGATGTAAAAGGAGAAATCTTGAACCATTATTTTATTTTATTTTTATTATCGTAAATATTGAGTTATCCGGAAAAAATGCAGGTTTTCACGTTTTCTTTCAATTAACGCTCTGTATTTTAACAAACTGTTTACGCTTGATGGATTATTCTTTTGTACGAATGTCAACACTTTTTAATCCTGTTTTCAAACAAAAATGTTTGCTTATGTCCGTAGCATTTCGTTATTTGGGAATAATTCAGTCTTTACTAAGATGTCACCGCGTGATTTTGGCGTAATTTAGTTTTACGTGTTTAAAGTCGGAAAAAATTTCGAGTGGACGTTTTAGCCTTGAACACAAAGAAAGTCGTGGAAGGATTTCTACCTTAGATCGCGGTGTACTGCGATCTTTGGTCGAAGAAAATTCCAGAAAAACTGTTCGAGAACTTGCAGAGTATCTTTCAGTTAGCGACCGTCGCTGACCACCTAAAGGCAGTTAGAAAGGTGAACAAACTCGAAAGTTTGGTTCTTCATGCATTAAACGACAGTTAAAGAATCATCGTTATGAAGTTTGCACAATACTTCTTTGCCGAAACAGAAACGGACTTTTTCTGGATAGAATTGCTGTTTGTGATGAAAAGTAAATTCTGTACGATAACGGCAGACGTTCGGACAATGGTTCTCAATGGCTCAACAAAGGAGAAGCAGTACCACATTTTCCCAAAAAAGGTGATCGTGACACTTCATTTGCTCTGATTTACTACAGCTTCTTGAATCCTGGCGAAGCAATCAATTGCTTTCATATTGATGCACCATTGACATTATTGAAGCCATCTTTGGTCAATCGGAAATTCACTTTTCTTACCGTATTTGAGCCAGAGAATAAGGCTAAATTAACGGTTTTACGGTTAAAAATTCATCAAAACCAGAAATCTCTGGTAAAATCTGAAAATTATAAATTTTGCAAGATATACAGCTATTTTCTGGTTCGTTGTAAAAACTCGGCCACCATAATTTTTTTTTATGTATACACCCAACTATGAGACAAAGACAAAAGTTCAACGTTAAGATGGAATCAGGTGGGTTAGTTGAGGGGAAAACCAGCAATATTTGAGAAATATTCGGCTTTTTAGACGTTCAAAAAAAGCTTCGTCGTTCATTCCTTTGGCACCGTTTTTATCGCTTCTATACACATCAATACCATCTTTGTGGTCTTCAGCTGCATATTCCTGACAATCTGAGTGCAGCACTGTTTTACATAGAGTTGTTTAGCCTAAAATTTCGAATATACAATAAATTTGGCCACTTTCTGTATTGTTAATAGATTGTACCTTAACTGTACTGTTCTTTTACTGTACAGAATCCGAATCAGACTGTATATCTATAAAGGATCACAAACTTTCACTTCTTTGAGGACAAAGTGCAAAAAGATTTTGACATGTGTAGTGGGTAGGTAATTATTGTTATTAGTTGTTAGTTTATTGTTATTTTGTCAGTTCAGTTTTTATTTATTATACATCCCAACATAGCAAATCATTGTAATCGATCAGTGGATATTGCATTTCTAATTGCTTCCTATTCCCACAGGCAGAAAAGTGCAATATCGCATCATTGCAAGTACTTAAAGTATGCAATTTTAATGAAAACCCAAAGTTTTAATAATTTCATTAAAAACAGCCAGTTTACTACTCTAACAGAAATAGTAAAAACAATTAAAAAGATGACCATTGGGAAGCTGTTGAGTACTGCTTTTATTTTAAACGCAATTTTAAAACTTTTAGTGAGAAATTTATTGAGAAAAACGTGCGCAAGATTTATTTTGATTATCTCAAAACGGGATTTTTGATGATTTACTTGCGAAAAAATCAACTCATTGCCTTTTTCATGGTTATATTCGTGATAAGCTTTAAATTTTTTTTTTTGTAAGAATAGAGGTTTTCAGTATTTGTTCTTATCTTTTTGCACTTCGTCTTTCAACAGTGAATAATAATGGTAACGAGTACGTATTTTGGACGTTTTGCTGTGGTCCAATCGATTCGAGAACGGTTTCATTGAATTCAGCATATAGAAAAACATGCCCATGATGATTATTGGTGATATTCGTTGCATTTTTGGAATTTGGGCTATAATTTTGGACGGTGTTTCATTGGATTCAACGTGCAAAAATTT